TTCACCTGCAAGTCCACCGTCTCCCAGCACCCCTCCCACCCACTCATCCCTCACAGCCCTCACAGGAGCAGCCCTCGGAGCCTCCTATGGCAAGTTTAGGAGACAAAAACCCCTCGCCCTCGCTGGCATGTCTGCCGTGAATAGTGGCCTCGTCGCCCTCGTCTTTTTCGGTCCGTAATACGTCATCTACCGTGGCCTCCTCCTCATCTCCCTCCAGCGACCCGCGAATATGTAGTAGCTCCTCTACTTGTCAAGCTGCTTCCGTTTCCTATCTATGAACGGAGACGCGAGTGGGCGAATGCAAGAGGCGAAAAACCCGACAGCGTGTATCCTGTGCCAGTGTCGTTCCACGAGCTGAGGTACCACAAGATACCGGATACCGCATTGGCTGGCGGCATGACTGGCGCGTTGCTCAATGTTATGCGACGTACGTGTGTGCATGATGCCTCCTTTCTCACTCTGACGTATATTTCATTTCGCAGGTGGACCTGCTGGAATCATCCCTGGAGTCATAACAGCCGGCCTTTTCAGCAGTGTCATTCAATTTATATGGAACGAAGCCAACGTCATTCGCATCAAGTACGTTTCTGAACACAAAGGGATCCAACATCCATTTGGGAATGATGTGCCCGAGAGGACGTTTTCAGAGAATATATTGGATGGGATAGGGAAGGTGTTTCCGCTAAAACGAATAACGGATGAGCAGTATTTGGCTAGGTTGGTGAAGGAGAGGGAGGAGGTGTTGAGGAGGATGGAGGAGGTTGAGAGGGAGTTGGAGGAGTTGGAAAACTTAGAGAAGGACAATATAGTTGATAATCCTTGAAGGCTTGCGGTGATACCCTTGACCACAAATGCAAAACATTTATGGTGTAGAAAGACGAAGACCACATTCCGGCCATGCTTGAGCTCGACGTTGAAAACTCCACAATACCCAATACACAAAACAATATGCATTGGGTGGAAAACATCTATGAAAGTTTTTGACAGCTTGGACGGTCGTTGGACGGGCTGCGAGATGTACAAGAAAAACTCGTCTCCTCGAGCACCACAAACACCGAAACCTTCATACAGACCACAAAGAACATAAGGCAATAACAAGTCATATTAAGCAACCAAAAAGTCTGTACAAAAGGCCTGACACCCCGCCCGAGAAAAAACCCTAGCGAGCCCTGCAAAAAACAGAGTCAAACCCCCCGCCGCATCGCACGCCCCCATCCAGAAAGGACACGGACGCACAGCATCCCTCTCCGCAGACCCAATCACCCAGCTATCCGTGACAATGAGTCGGACGCTGAGTACTGTCTAAAGGCTTGCGGTGAAGAAGAGCAGGGTTGGCGCGAGCACGGGTTTATATAGGGAGATGGGCGTGGGAAGGCGAGCCGGCGATGTGGACTTGGTGCTGGGTCTGGGGCGGTCGGTGACGTTGTTGCTCACAGTGTTACCCGTCGCACACCGTCCCTTGCCGTCACCGTCCACAACGTGCTTAGACCTCTTGAATACCCATTAGATTCTGAGATATACATTGACAACAGGGACACGGATATCAATGACAAGCACCGCACCCCCTGCGTATATCCAGGCTACGTCCCCTATCCAGACGCACCCTGGCGTGCCCTCGATTGTGGAAGTGCATACCCCGACGACGTCGTTTGCGATTCAGCATTCATGTGAGTAGCTTACTCCCTTTCATATATTCGTTAGCTTACTTATTCTGCTCTTATTACTTGTTATGTGAATCGTTGAATTGTTGAATTGCTCGACTATGCTGTTGTTATGCTACGTTGCCTCTGTGGTGGTTACATGAACAGTAACCCAAGAAAACCTCCAAACGCTCTTCGGCAAGCTCAGCAGGAAGACAAACACCGGTGCGGATGGCGCGCGAGTCGGCCCTGGGTGGTTGAAGTACGAGTGGAACGGGACGGTGTGGAATTTGGATGATGGTGTGTTTATTCTTCCTTAGCCTTCCCTTCCCTCCATTATATGTATATGTATTAAACCTAACATTAACGTCCTCGTCCCCAGACTCAGACTACGCAATATTCATCTGGCGCCAACAACAGCCGCACACCCAACCATCTCAACCCTCCACATCCAGCTCGCCCATCTCGCCCTCGCCCGCGCCCTCCCTCGCCCTCCAAATCCCCGGTCCTAATACCAACACCAACACCCTCCCCACCCTCCACTTCAGAAATCCCTCCACCCCCCTCCCCACCCCACCCGCCTACCTAAACCCCGCCTTCTACCTCTTCCGCCCCTCCCCCGCCCAGCCCTACTCGCCCTCCCTCCGTGCCCCCTCAACGCACCGCGCCCCCTCTACCCGCTCCCGCAAATCCGGCAAATCTAAAGTCTCCGCAGCCCCCTCCATCCCGCAACACAAAAAGGACTTTGAGAAATTCCATGCCTCGAATGGTGTGCGGACTGTTATCGGGAAGATCGGTCCCGTGGGGGACGTACGGATGCTGTTGAAGGAGGGATATCGGCATGTGTATATGGCGAGGGGGTTTGCGAGGAGACATGGGTTTGTGCCGCGGGATGCGGAGGTGGGGAGGTATGGGTTTGGGGGACTTGTTAAGTGCGTTTTTATCCCTTCATTCCTTTCTCTTTCCTTCCCTTTCCTTCCTTCCACTCTCCCCTTCATCCCCCCATCTCTCTTTATGTTTTGTTTATACCCCGCTTTCCTAAATCAAAACACCTACTAACCCCTCCCCCTCACAGCATCGGCCAATGGCCCCTCACCCTCGGCCGCACCACCACAACGCACACAGTCTACCTCGCGGAGGAGACGCACTTCGACGTGATCCTGGGGCGGTCCTTCATGGAGAAGCGAGGCGTCAAGACGGACCCGCTGGATATGACGAGTGTGGTGTGTTTGGACACCGGGGAGAGCCTCGAGTGCGAGGTCGTGATTATTAGGGATGGGAAGGGCGATATTGTTACGGTTACGTAGGGGGTGGTGTGCGGCGAATTGCGATGGGGGGGGTTATGGAGGGGTTGAAGGCAGGGAACTTGGGGGGATTCCAGAGACGAGATGGACTATTGTGATCTTTTTGGGTGTGTATGTGGGATTAGAATCTTCATGTATTTATCAATTCTTCATTTTTATTTCGTCTTCTGTTGTATCCTATATACGTGGGTATTTGTAGTATCTCTTTTGAACAAGTTCAATTTCAACAAACTCAAGTACTTAAGTATTGCGCTACTTTGCGATAATTTGTTGTGAGCAAAGTGTATAATTAATTTGCAGAGAGAGGACTTGGAGAAATACCTTCTGCACCTGAAGTTGAATTGTATGCGTAAGCCCATGGCCAATAGTTATCTGGGACACATGCTGGTACATTCCAAAAAGATAGTCATCGCGCGGTACAGAGCTTTATGCATAGGCGCGCATAATCGACAAGCGGAATCAAAGCCGAACAGCCAACGGATTGGGTCAAACTAGGACTAGTATCTAGTAACAGTAGAGGGTCTGGCCGGGCATCTGCACGACTTAGTACGATGTACAACTTGTGACGGAAGTCCGCAACCAGATCCACCATAATGGCTCCCCAAGTGGGCTACTGCTGTAACGTTCTTATTTTATCCCTTGGATTACAACTGGTACTATTAATAATATTAATAGGGGCACCGCGAGAACTTTTCCAGCGATTATTTTACACTAATAATAATAATAAGGGCACCACGACAACTCTTTCAGCGATTATTAATAGTATTAGTTGCAATCCAAGAAATAAAAACCTTACGACAGTAGGCCTATTGGGGGACCGTTTGATGGCGGATCCTCAGAAGACCTCTGTCATAAGTTGTACGTCGTACTAACTAACATGCAGCTGTCCTCTCAGGGTCCTCTACTGTTACTATGTATTAGTCCTAGTTTGACCCAATCCGCTGGCCGTTGAGCTTTGATTCCGCTTGTCGAAAATGCGCGCCTATCCATAAAGTTCTGTACCGCACGATGACTATCTTTTTTGAGTGTGTGCCAGCATGGATGTATCGTTTTTTTATAGTTTTTATTCTGTCTTTCCCTGTATCCATAAACGTGCGTATTTGTAGGATCGCTTTCGAATTCAAGTCTGTGAGTGGATGGATGCCCACTGTAGAGGCACCATGATGGTAGCCCAAGCAGGCTACTGTTCTAAGTTATAATTCTGTTTTTATTCCTTGGATCACTGACGCTAGGGCCACCGCAACGGCTCTTTTGTCAATGATTTTACTGGGGAATGCTGGCGTGCCCCTCCCTCCTCAGATAGCTATTAGCCATGGACTTATGCCTATCAGTATACTAAATTCAGCCTTATTCAGGCGTAGAAGGTATTTCTCTGACTCCTCTCTGTACAACTTTGCTTACACCAGAATGTCCTGAGTACGTACTTGAGTTGAAATTGAAGGAACGGACTGCTCCCCGGGTACAGCAAATGCACGCGCGAAATAAATAAATAAATAAAAATAAAAATATCACCAAATTTGCCAAATTCCCTGACCCTCAGGTTCCTTCTGATCATGACAGGATAGTCCTCTCAAGCGGTCAGGGAAAATATACTCTCCACAAAGGACTTTAATTCCAATATCGCTCCCATATTTGATGAATCAGCAGTACTGTAGCGAATGCTTCAACGAATCTTCCCGCGTTCGAGAGTCTAAGACTTTAATGTAAGCTTTCCGATTCCGAGTTCGCTTTTCTAATAAGATCTGACTCGAGCTCGGAAGCTGCTACAGCGCAGTGAGTGAGATCCAACGCATTGAACGTAACTCCTGTCACATATTGTACAGCCGTACTAATGCATGCAGGTGCCCTCTTAGAAGTCTCTACTTTTACTAGATATCGGTCCTAGTTTGAGCCTATTCCTTTACCAAGCGCCTTCAATTCTACCTGTCGAGTATGGACACCTATCCACAAGTTCTGTACCATCCGAGTAAAAACACTCGTGCCGATTTGTCCTCTCCCTCCCCCTCTTCCTCCTCAGAAAAGAAAGAAAGAAAGACGATAAAAAGGAGCAAAGGAATCTCCGGGACCCAGATTGAACCAGTGACATTCAGATGAGAGGTATCCATTACAGTTTGATGCTTTTCCAACTGAGCTACCCAGAGGTGATGAATGTTAATACTCTCTTGCGACCTATCCGCCGCGGTAGCGGATCACCTCGGGCTCCAGTAAAATATTTGATGAAAGAATGTTCGCCGTGCCCCGGGTGATCCAAGGAATAAAACAAAAATATACCTTACGCAGTAGCCTGCTGGGTGCCTCTACAGTGGGCTCCTGTCATATATTGTACATTTGTACTAATGGTATGCAGGTACTCTCTGAGAAGCTCTACTGCTACTATTAGGGCGGTTCACGGTTCATTTTTTCGGGATATTTTTTGGATATTTTTCAATAAAAGGATGTGTGGTAAAATACTTTAGTAAATGTAAAAGGAGCCTCCGAGCTATTTTTGCATAACTCATTTTTTCGAAAAATATCAAAAAAGAATATCAAAAAAAACCTCAAAAATGAACCGTGAAACACCCTATTGAAGGGTCGCAGTTTGACCCCACACCTTTACCTGGCGCCTTCGATTCCGCCTGTTGGCCAAAAGTCCTTTACCGTGCGAGTTAAAATACTCATGCCAGTTAGTCCTCCGCCTCCTCCAGACAAAAGGGAAGAAAGAAAGAAAGAAAGAAACGGAATAAAAGAGACCAAATAAATCTCTAAGACCGGGATCGAACCAGTGACATTCAGATGAGAGGATGTTCTCATGAAGTAACCATTACAGTCTGACGCTCTTCCAACTGACCTACCCAGAGGAGATGAAAAGCGGTAGGGTTGTGTGATCCCGAGAGATAGAGTATATTGTACTAAGTCCCGGCCCTTTTTTTTTCGAGGGAAAATCCTGCCCCCAGCTCATAGCAATAATATGTTGATGTGTTCCATAACGGCTAGGTCTGAATCTTGAAACTTTTAATCGGGTGAGCCACGGACAGCTCCGAGTCGAAGTTCAGTCTCCTGTGCACCAGTGAGTCACTATTTATATTTTGATTATGATTAAATTAGTACGTTGGACTATCCACCTCAGGCTATGTCTAGATCCCGAGAAGTTTAACGGCTAAATGAAATACTCACCAGTCTACTAATAATCTGAGTCTCTCTATGCGCAAACGAGATGATGCTCGTATTCCCCGGTGGGGGCCAACATGAACTCACCGGATCGTTGTTTGACGAGCATGAGGTACCGAACCATGCAGGCATCTTCGTGTTCTGTATCGCATGGGGCGCATTTAGGGATGTGGGGATAGACTTAGCTTATACTATTTGGCTGTGAGTTGTTTATGATAAGGAGTAGATATATCTCTTGAATCGCGTACCATGAGCGAGTATAAAGTTACTTACAAGCTGAATGATTTTGGTTGAGTAAGCAACAAACTGTTATGCGTTTAGTCTGAATGGATGAAGAGGAGAAGGGAAGTCAAGGGGAGTCTCTCAGAAGGGCTACATTTATATAAACGCACGTAAGCTGATTAGAAAAGATTAGGCGAGCAAACGCGAGTGTATTAGTGTATTTGAACACCTTGTCAGAGCACCCGTCCCTGAAATTACAAACCCCAATTAATTTAGTACGCAAGAAAATGCCCGCACATGATGATGGCTCCTCTCACCAACGGCATAAACCAGAATTGTATCCACTAAACCTCTGCAGTGATGGTACATATAAGCCACCCAAATTTATGAAATATAGTAACTATATGCCTTACTGATCCCATCTGGTCCGATTGCCTTTTAAATACCATGCTACAGCTCCTGCGATCAATGTGTCGGAGATCGCACCGCTGCATACACCGAAATATAACGAGCGAGGGATTGAAAAAGAAAAGAAAAAAACTACAAGTATCTATCTTAATAGGTACCCAAGAGATATTCCAAGCAAGCGAGCGTATGCATTCTTATCAGTCCAAAACTTTCAGTGAGTAGATATAGAAACCGCTACTACGCGGCAACTCACATTAAAATCTGTATATGTTCAGGTGACTGCCAGTGCCATACTAGATTCAATTAAATATTTACTAAGGAATCGCTCTCGATTTGACCCTTGAAGCCATCCACAGATGTCCAAACAGCCATTGCGGCTTAGAGGATTCCATAAAAGGTCAAAATAGCGATCAAAGGACAGTTCCTCCTGCTCAGGATAAAGACACGATATATTACAAAAAAATTGACATAAAGCTGTGATAATGCTATTGAGAAGAAAATGAGTGGACCAGGACCACGTCAGGTGCTCTATCACTTTTAGGTCTCCTAATGATATATGCGCATATAAACGGTGGGATGCAAATACGTATGTACGCAGAAGTCAAGTTCACTTACCCCAGTGAGAGACCGTATAATAGTAGACGGACAGGAAAACGACGATAAGGTTCGCTATCTCTAAGAGCCTGTGAGAAGAATTAAGCGTCAGGACGTTTAACGAATTAATCCGCATACTTACCGTACAAGGAACACAAAATTTCAACGACGTGAGATCATTGAGATAATGCTGATAGTAAAGAAAGGTTTAGAGAGTCATAAGTCCAAAAAGGCTGAAAAAATAGTATAGTAAATACTCATCAAATGTAGAAAAGAATACACAATGTAGAGAGGACCAATCCTACAAGAGTAGGTTCATACAAGGATTTGACATCGTAAGGTTGGAACACGTCTGTCATACTCCGGAGTATACCCTTTATATGAATTTGGAAAGAGTTCCCATGTCGACCTCTATTCGATAGCAGATATATGTGGACCGCGGCTCATCAGACCAATCCGAAATGCAAACTGACGGTAAACTTGAAGCGATATCTTCTGGCATTCTAACGCGCAGTGTCTAGGTGAGCAGTATTTATATTCTTTGGCTGCCTCTGTTATTCGCTCACTGATAAAGTTGTTGGGATTGAACAATCGAGGGTCCAGATTCCCTTGGGATCCCCAGCAGACCTCGACTCGGAAAGACTAGGAGGTGAGACGATGTATTTAGTAGACATCATCAGACTGAATATGACCGAGATGGTATCAGTAAAGAATCTGAGGCCTTCTCTGGTCATCTTATATGTAGTGTGGCAGATTCCCGGCATCCAGGCTGTCTGAAAAATCCACGAAGTGACTTAAAGTTTAAGTGTCCGGAATCAGTCGGGAACGAGTATTATCTCGAATAATTTGTGTAAATTACGAGGTTAGTTTTAATATTAGAGCATCTTTGTTTTGGGCCTTAAAGTAGTGTCTAACGGAATAGCTTGCGTTCGTTGACCAGGAGCCTTTAGTAGCTGATACGTTATGTTTCAGATAAATCCGTCACCCTATTCGCATACCCTTTGTATCAATTTAGGCATACTTCGACAAATTAATATCATGAAATTCAAGGGCAAAGGGGGGAAGGGGAGTCACTCCCCCTTATGGTTACTACTCGCCTACTACATCGCCCTACCCCGTCTCATCAATTCAGTCAACTTCTTCCATCTGTGATTGAGATACCTACTAGTGCACGAAGCTGTGGGAATAAATTATGGATTCGCAAAGAGCTGGATACTAGGTGAGGCTGCCAGTCATCGCGTGGAGCATGTCCACTGGCCGAAGAAAATAGAAAAATTAAAAGACCACTTTATAAGACCGGGATCCAACTGGTGACATTCAGATGATACGATGTTCTCATGAAGTAACCATTGCAGTCTGACGCTCTTCCAACTGAGCTACCCAGAGATAATGTGTTACTTCATGCTTATGTATCTATGTACCGCAGATTATTGTATTCTTATTCTTTGTAACTGAAGCGGAAAACATTCATATTCAAGTTATTTTCTTTTCAACACAGGGAATATTATCACTAAGTTTGTAAAGTACAGTAAAGTGTAATAGCAAAACGCATTCGAATGTCCTAATTAGTCTGGACTAGCATTTCTCGCTGAAATTTGAAGGTTTGAAGGCTTCCGAATCGTCGCACTCGGTACTTCCACAAGTCACTTCTTGAATGTCGCATTCCTGTAAATTCCGGGAGTCTTTATTAAATCACTAAGAATCCTCTAATTGAAACACTCATTGATCTATTAGGCTGTTCACTGGCACGCGGAAACACCGCCATGATGCTGACATTTCCGTCGGGTGAGGAAGCAGGATCATTTATCAGAGGCGGCGAGGTACCGAACCAGGTAGGCGTCTTGGCAGTTTTTTTGCAAGGAACGTCGGGCGTTTAGAGACGAAAGGATAGAATTGCTGTAGAATATTAATGGGACCAATAAAGCGTACAATTAGGAGGTGACTCAATTTTCGATAAAGTAGATCTATTTACCTAGGCCTAGTGGAAAATTGACAGCGAGATCGAGAAATTCGGTTGGGAAGGTGACAAACTATAAGTAATAGATTTTCGATTCATTAGTTGAAGCCACGAACTTGGGTCGGATTAGAGACTCACAGCAGCTAAATTTAAATAAACACATAAACTGGAGAGAAGAGAACACCAGAAAGAAAAACAGTGTGTTAGAGTGTTAGTGAAAAGTAGCATTCACTTACCCCGCCAGAGCACCGGTTCCTGAACGATTGCATTTCACTCAACATTAAAGAATATTCTCTCGTAGAGGACACTCTCACCAATTGCATAAACAAGTACTTTATCCAGTAATCCCCTGTAGCGACGACCCATAAGCAAGCTAACGAGCTCGACAATATATATGGACCTTACCGATTCTATTTATTCCGGTTGCCGATGAGGTACCACACCGAAGCCACTGCAAGTAATGTGTCGCAAATTGAAGCACTGCCAGGGTGTCAAGTTAGGATCTAGTGGAATAATTGAGTACACTGATTGGACTTGCCTCAATAAGTAAGCTAGGGGTATTCCGAGCAAGTGAGCGTGTGCAATCTCATCAGTCTGCAAGCCCCTTAGTGAGTCATAAGGGAATATCACTATAATGAATGATAGATTATGAGCAGCTCACATTAAAATCTATCCAACATTCATCTAAACACCAGTAGTATTGCGCTCAATAGTAGGTACTTACTGCGAAAATCCCTCACAAACCGACCATTCAATCCATCTGCAGACGTCCATATGCCAATTGTAATTTGGAGTATTGCTAAAATGGCCAGAGTAGCAACCAGATACCAGTTTTTCCTGCTCAGGAAGAAGACTCAATATATAAGAAATGGCATAAGGACGTAATGACGGTCGTCAAAATAAACTGAGTTGACCAGGACCAGTTTAAGTTGTTGAGTACTGCTGGAACTCCTGTATATATGTGAGAGAGACAGAAATGCCATGAATTCAAAGTTCACTTACCCCAGTGGAGCACTGTAAAATAATATACGAACAGGAAAACAACGATAAAGGGAACTATCTCTAGAAACCTGCGGTAAAACTCAAGTGTCGTCAAAATACCTCACATTTAATAGGTGCTGAGTTCGTATACCACATGAGGAGCACATAAACTTCAATGACGTGGGATCTTTGGACTAATTCCAATAATATAAGAATGCTTGTAGGGTTATGAGGCCGAAAAAGCTGGGAAATATTATAGTAAATTTTCAATCATTTTGTGTACGAAGAAATGAATGCGTACAAAGCTGAGAGGAGTAGACCCACAAGAGCAGGACCATAGAGGAGTTTGGACATTAACCGGAAGATATTCGGTATCTGTCATAAACTTGAAGTGGTTATGGACAATGGTCGTCCAAGTGTGAATCAGACAGACACAGATTTATATATGTTATGCGGCGTCTACGTCGAAGCCCAATACACCGGATTGGGTCGGAAGAGATTCTTAACTTTAATGCGCATTCAAGTTCGCCCGCTGAGCCTATGTGCCAAATAGGGTTTACTGGATGCCGCGGCTTATAATGAGGATTGGACACGGAAGGAAGCTATGTACAGGGGACCGACTCGTTAAAGTCCAACTGAAATTGAGTTCAGCTATAGATATCGTGAAGGCTCCTCTCTGCCTACCTTCACTGAGACGAGTGCTCTCTGCAGCTATGGTACGTGGGGATCATACGTTACTAATGTAGACCACTGAGGAAGCCTATCAGGCTCACTGGAAGACTGCAATAGGGTGTGGTCTATCCCCACCTTGCCAACAAAGTTGGACGAAAATTTTGAGGACATGATCCCAAACCTTGAAACTCAGACTGTAGCTATTTGAGGTATCCATTAGAGTGACGCTGCTCCAACTGAATTACTCAGAGGTGACGACAATTTAATCTCAGTAATATAAATGAGAGCTCAATTCCCAAAGACTTTACATACTTATTATAGCTCAAATAACTAGAATTCAATTCCGTCATGGGACCCTGTTCATTCCGAGCAGTCCTTGATATCCGGTGCATCTGCATCTGCATCCCTCACAGTGGATAGCCCGCACATTATTCATATTTGATAACTGATTACCTGGGCAGAGTGAGAGATGTCCAGAATATAATCCAGAATTCCGAAAATGCAGCTCCTCTGGGACGGTTATTCTACTTGCCTATGAAAATTGGAGGTTAATTTTAATTATAACACTCTTCATTTAATTGAGAAACTTACTGAACCACCAATCCGATCTCTCCGTATAGATTGGATGATGTTCCGAACCAACGAGTCATCAGCTTGAGCCTGAATATGATCCAGAGCGAGCGTAGTAGTACTAAACCACGTAGGCATCTCGGTGTTCTGAATAGCATGTCGGGCGTTCAGAGATAATAGTATAGATTTGCTGTAGACTATTCAAAAACGTCAGATTAGGATGAGGTTTAAGCTATGATCATGAATATTAATAAATACCTAGACAGATTGGAAAGATAAAAATGAGATAGACAAATTTGGTTGGGAAAGCGGCGAGCTGCAATGGGTTTCTGAATTATGGAGCTTGAGACGCATCTTCGGCAGCTTACAGTAGATAAAGTTAAATACACACAAAGGCTGGGAAGAAGAATTCGATAATGAACTAAGCATGAATCTTCCAATCATTAAGAAGAAAGTCATATTCACATACCTCGTCGGGGCACCAGTACCTGCCAAACGAACCAATTTCATTCAGCACATTTGAGAATATAAGCTCATGGTGAAGACTCACAAACTATATAGACAAGTATTTTATCCAGTAATCCTCTTCAATGATCACTATTAGTCAACTAAATGTCAAGATAAATAGGTGTCTTACTGGTTCCATTTAGTCCGATAGCTCTTTAAGTACCAAACTGTAGCCCCAACAATCAATGTGTGGCAAAGAGCGGCGCTGTATACCATTGAAATATCAATTTTATGAACAAAGATTCAGTATATAATGGTATTTTACCTCGATATGGATGCAATGGATATTCCAAGCAAACGTGCCCGTGCTCCTTCTTCAGTCTGCAGGCCGGACTCAGCGGTGGGAACTTTGTTTTGACCACTAATAAAAGCTCACCTTGAAATCTATGTAATTTAAATGCATCATAGATATTACATATACAGGCAATAAACTCACCTAAGAAATCCAATATAGTCTGTCCATTTAATCCATACACAGATAACCATATGGACATGCCAACCTGAAGGGTTGCTAAAATGGTCAGGATAACGACCAAACATAATTTTTTCTCGCTCAGGAAGAAGACCCGGCGTATAAAATAACAATGACATAACGCTATGATAACGCTGGTAGTGATAAACTGTGCGGACCAAGCCCACGTCAAGCGGTTGATTACGCTCAGATCTCCTATATATATACCCGTTTAGTAGTAAACGGGATGGAAAGAAATTAAAGTTTACTTACCCCAGTGGAGGACCGTATAATAGTAGACAAATAGGAAAATGATGACCAAATGAGCCATGTTTAAGAGCCTGCACCAGTGATAAAATTTGTGTCAGGATATGTCGCATTTAACTCGAAATTACATACAATAAGACGAACACATAAATCTTCAACGGTATAGAATCTTTGGGATAATTCCGATAGTACTGGAATGTCTGAAGAGTGACAAGTCCAGAAAGGCTGGTAATCTTACGATAAGTGTTCGGTGAGCGAGGAGAGAAATACGTACAATGCAGAGAGGACCAGCCCTACAAGAGCGGGGCCATATAAGGATTTGACATCGTAAGGTTGAACGACACCAGTGTTCTTCATACCGTGTTTATACACTGCTGAGATTTTAAGAAAGAGAGACACCCTTTTATAGGAATCAAGAAAACTCCTACATCAGGAAAGTTGGTAAAACCGGCGCCTAATGAGTCGGTAACAAATTTTGGTTATTCCTATGGAATGACACAGGGATATCCTATTTTTTTTTGAGAACCTGGTTCATATGATCTGTTACCTTCTCATGACAAATAACTGGGGTCACCTATACAGTCTGCGTTGAGATATTGCCCATGCAAATTCTGCTATGGAAATGTACATAAACTATAATTGCTAGCATAGTCATCTATAGCTGATTATAGTTTATGTACATTTCCATAGCATAATTTGCACAGGCAATATCTCGACTCAGACTGTATAGGTGGCCCCAGTTATTTGTCATGAGAGGGTAACAGATCATATGAACCAGGTTCTCAAAAAAAAATAGGATATCACTGTATCGTTCCATAGGAATAACCAAAATTCGTTACCGAGCCATTAGGCGCCGGTTTTTCCCAACTTTCCTGATGCTATGACCACTGTCCATAAAACATAGGAAGATCAATGCCGCTCCTGATAGGAAAGAGAGCTCCTCATGTCCATGCGGAGCTGAGCTAACTTGTAGGATGCTGG